CCCCAAAACCCCAAAACCCCAAAACCCCAAAACCCCATAATATTTCAGTTAAATTGTAATTTTAGTTTATCAACAGCATAAATGAGTAAGCTAGCCTGAGATCTTCTTAAAGGCATGGGTCATTCAGGATTGAAACTTTGTGAGCTATGTTGAATAGATAGCCAGAGGAGTCTCTTTTGGACATAATTTTACTCCTTCAATTATACTAATATTAACCTAGGTGATCATAACAGTGAAGAATCAAGTGAAATTGACGAAGGTATCACTGGCTTATTAATCCCTAAGATTTAGTTGATAACATTTTTGCCAATGAAGTAAGGGAAGCCAGAATATTTGTATCCATGCTCGCTCAAAATAGAGATAAAGTCATAAGATATTTGATTTCATCAGAGCCTCGGGATATAATAGTAGATGCTCTAGCAGATGCTCCAGCAGATGCTCCAGCAGATGCTCCAGCAGATGCTCCAGCAAATGCTCCAGCAAATACTCCAGCAGATACTCCAGCAAGTCCTAATACTGATTCACCAATGTCTCATCTATTGACTTCAGAATCTGCTCCTAACACACCAAGGCAGGTTCAAATCCCTTCGACACCAAGAAGGCACTCAGGTAGGTTAATTTTTGATTTCCTCATATCTAGGAAGTGCTTTTACCTTAGTAACTCCTTCTCGCCCTTACTTCTCCGCACCTCCAGCCCCTCCCCCACGTCCACTTAATCCCACACCTCCACCTAGTACCACACCTCCACCTCGTCCCACACCCCCACCTCGTCCCACACCCCCTCCAAGTCACAGTAATCAAAGGAGGGAATTCACAACCCGCATGAATAATTACCGAAGACAGGTAAGCCATTTCTCAGTGAACTCTGACTAACTTTACTCTAGATCAGGAGCATGATTCGTATAATTCCAGCCACTAAAGTTTAGAAACTACCACGACTTACTGTGACTGGTGTGTCCAGCAGATCTACAGGGAGAATCAGAAGAGGATTGGCCAATTTAGGAAAAGAATGCTCAGATGTATCAATGAGATATACAGAAAAGTCGATTCAGCTTTTAACTCAATTACAGGACATAATTCTGGGTATGCAAAATTTGTTAATTATTTAGAGGACACGGCTCTTGAAGATTTGAGGCAAATCAGGAACCAGATTGCTTCAGAAGTCCTTCTCCTCGTCATAATTCTTCTCCCTCAAATCCGGTTGATAAATCCAGAAGATCTCCTGAAAGAAGGGAAGCTCTTAATAACAGGATTAGAGAACGTGAAACTAGAAGAAGAGAAGAATCAAAGGAGAGAGCTTCTAGAAGAGAAACTCCACTAAGGCGTAACTATAAAAGAGAAACTTCAGAAAATAGCACTCAGACTGAAGACTTTCTAGAGATACTTTCCGGAGTAAGAACTGCACTTCTGGACGAACAATTTTTTATCTCGAGAAGAGCCTTATTTATATACACACTGGAAGCGATCAAAACCATTATGAGGGCATGGGATCCAGACAAATACAAGCACACTCTAATACCTGATGAGGAAGCTTACAACCTAGTTGTTTGTTCTCTACGAGAAAATGAACAATCAAGATGGTTCCTTGGTAAGCAGCTAGATAATCTCAATTATAGGTCAATGGACATCAAAATAATTTACCAGATGATTTGGATATTTTTAGTAGAAACAGACCAAGAGATAGAGAAATTAGCGTCTTTCTGGATTGATTAATAGACTGTGTAGGGTCTTATCTGAGAAGCACAATAAGATCTTCGAACTCTGATGGAGAAGATCAAGATAAAGAAGGGGAACAATAATCCTGACTTAAAATAGACAATTATTTTTGAAGAAGATTCAACATTAATATTCATTTACGGGGTTTTGGGGTTTTGGGGTTTTGGGGTTTTGGGG